TCTCAGCAAAGGCGTCCATCCTCCGGCTGAGCCGGGCTTTAAGGAAGGAGTGAAACATGTAGGTGTCCAGGACCTGAGGGGTCAGACCACAGGTGACCCGCCGCACGCCGTCTCCCTGTGCCCTCCCCGGCCACGGCCTCCCACAGCCGGCGGCGAGCAGCGGGACAGCGAACGGGGGCGCCCGTGGGGGGGTGAGCCGCGGGACAGCGAACGGGGGCGCCCGTGGCGGGCGAGCAGCGGGACAGCGAACCGGGGCGCCCGTGGCGGGCGAGCAGCGGGACAGCGAACCGGGGCGCCCGTGGCGGGTGAGCCTTGGGAACAGTGTCCCAGGACGCCCGTGGGGGGGTGAGCCGCGGGAACAGTGTCGGGGACGCCCGTGGGGGGGTGAGCCACGGGAACAGTGTCCCAGGACGCCCATGGGGGGGTGAGCCGCGGGAACAGTGTCGGGCGCCCGTGGGCGGGTGAGCCGCGGGACAGCGAACCGGGATGCCCCGTGGCGGGGGCACCCGTGGCGTGTGAGCAGGTGCGGGGCCGCGGGGCCGCCCAGGGCTGATGGGAAGTCTCCATCGGAGCGAGGAGCCCCGCCCTCACCTGCCGGTAGAAGCGCTGGTCGCCGGGGGCGCGGCTCTTGAGGAACTCCTCGCTGTTGAACACGCGGTGCTCGTAGTTGAGGTGGTTCCTCACCTCCCTGGCAGCACACACGCCGTCAGGAGGAGCGGTCTGCAGGGCGGCCTCCTGGCGCCCGGGGCCGTGGTCCGGGACAAAACCACTGGAAGCTCCGTGCTCCTGCGCCCGGGGCAGCCCGGCCCGCCCGCATGGAGGGGACAGACGGTGCAGCACCAGTCGTGCTTCACGCAGAAGCAGCTGGCCCAGGGGCTGAGCACCGACTCCGAACCAGGAGGTCAGGGTTCGATTCCCGGTCAGGGCACAGGCCTGGCTGCAGGCTCGGTCCCCAGGGTGGGGAGTGCAGGAGGCAGCCGATGGAAGAGTCTCTCTCGTTCGTTCGTTAGTGATGTTTCTCTCTCTCTCCCTCTCCCTTCCTCTCTGGAATCAATGCAGATGTATTTTAAGGAGAAAATAAATGTAAAGAGCAGAGTCCGGGTGGTGAGCTCGAGGGCGGGCTCTGCTCTGAACCCCTGGGGGAGGGTGCCCCCCGCCCCTGTGCCAGGAGGGCGGTACCTGAATATGCTGACAAGCAGCTGCAGGGCGAGCTGCTGGATCTGCCCGTTGAGCCTCTGCTGCCAGGCCCACCGGCGGGCACGGCCCTCGTTCACGTCGGTGCTGGCACCCAGGTGGGCGAGGTCCAGGTCATAGTGCAGCTGGAGGCTCTGGACCCTGGAGGGCAGGGGCGTGTCACCTGTGCCCCGCTGGGCGGGGCAGGCTCCAGGAGGCCGGGGCCCAGGCTCCCAATAACCGGGGCGGGGTACACGATACACACACCCCCATACGTTAGTCCCCGCCCCCAGCCGGCCACTCTGCAGAACCCAGGGCCTGGCCGCCTGCACCACATGCTGATCCAGGAATCATCCCGTTCCCCGTGCTCTGCCCAGCAAGGACACACCCCCCGCAGGACAGCCAGGCCTCCAGCCCGGGCCTGACCGCACGCCTGCCTGGCATGCTCAGAGGCACCAAACCTCCTGTGTCACTTCCTGGCCCGGACTCGGCCTGAGTCCCCAAGGACAGGTGGAGGGATGGATGGACAGAAGGGTGGAGGGGTGTTGGACAGGTGGGTGGAGGGATTGATTGACAGGTGGGTAGAGAGATGGAGGGATGGATGGAGGGATGGATGGAGGGATGGATGGACAGGTGGGTGGAGGGGTGATGGACAGGTGGGTGGAGGGATTGATTGACAGGTGGATGGAGGGATGGAGGGATGGATGAAGGGATAGATGGACAGTGAATGGAGGGATGGATGGAGGGATGGATGGATGGATGGATGGACAGGTGGGTGAGGGATTGATTGACAGGTGGATGGAGGGATGGAGGGATGGATGAAGGGATAGATGGATAGGTGAATGGAGGGATGATGGACAGGTGGATGGAGGGGTGATGGACAGAAGGAACTGCAAAGGTCACAGACACAGATTCCTGGGCAAGAAGAGGTACGATTGTGGGAGCCATGACCAGATTCCTCAGGCCATGACTGATACGTGGGGTAGATCAGAATAAAGACAAATGACTTTTATTTTTAAAAGCTCACAAATAACTTCAAACTATAAATACGTGAACTGTCTATAATAATAAAAGCGTCATCGCAGATCGGCCGAGCGGCCTAACAGCAGACGGACCGTCTGGAGGCCCTTCCGGCCGAAGCCGGGGCGCGAGGCCTGCTCCAGCAGGAACGCAGGCCCCGGCCTCCGTCTGCCCGCAGCCTCGGGCGAAGAGGAACTTGCGCGCGCTCCCGCCTTACCTCTGGACGAAGGTCTGTGCCGCCAGCAGGGGCAGGTCGGGGACCTCGCAGCCTGAGCAGGTGACGCTCCCGCTGTCGATGTTGATCAGAACCAGACCCTCCGCTTCCTGCGGGGAGGCGTGGGCGAGGTGAGAGCCGGCCTGTGGCTTTGAGAACGCGAACGCCCGCGCACGGAGGCAGCGTCCTCCTCCCACCACCCGCCCAGCCCGGCCGGCGGGCGCAGGGGCTGAGCATTGACCCAGAACCAGGAGGTCAGGGTTCGATTCCCGGTCGGGGCACAGGCCCGGGTTGCGGGCTCGATCCCCAGGGTGGGGCGTGCAGGAGGCAGCCCATCCATAATTCTCTCATCACTGGTGTTTCTCTCTCTCCCTCTCCCTTCCTCTCTGACATCAACAAAAATGTACATTTTTTAAAATGACCCAGCCTCCAGGGGACAGAGCCTTATGTGATCTGGACCAAAAGGGGGTCACGCCATGAGTGATGTCGGCGAGCTAACGGCCTGTGTCTGAGTCAGTGCACACCGCGGCCTCCCCCTGCCCTGGTACAAGCACTGCAGCGCTCCTCCGAGGAGCCTGGAGAGAACATTCCAGAACTCCCGCGAAGCAGCACCAACATTCCACACCAGGACGTGTCCCTCCGGCCGCTCCCCCAGCGCCTTCGAGAGCCCGGCCTGGGCAGGGCCCGCCCTGGGGACCACACACGGGATTTTTAAAACACGGCACGGCTCCTTGTGAAGTCTTATCTGCGACAGAACACACACCGACCCGCCCCCCCCCTTCCAGGCCTCGAGCCAGCAGCCCGGAATGTGCCGGACCGGCGGCCCCGCCCGGCGCCCCCGCCCGGCGCCTGACCTTGCTGACTTCCTCGAAGTGGCGGAGGTGGCAGCCCATGAGGAAGGCGGTGGGCGCCATGAGGAAGTCCAGCATCTGCCCCGGCAGGATGGGCACCAGCGTGTGCTGCCAGCGCAGCGGGTGCAGGTAGGCCAGGAAGCACTCGGCCACCAGCGGCAGCAGCGCCCAGCTCGCCGAGAAGAAGACCAGCCGCTGCTCCGTCAGCAGGCACGTCAGGATCTGCGGGGACAGAGGGCGCAGTTCTGCCCGGGTTTCCTGCTCCGTTTGCCAAAACAAAAGCCACCTGGACGCCCCCCCCCCAAAAAAAAAAAGTTGCAATTTGTGCACAGTGTGCACAGGAGTGAACACTAAATCTCTTTTACACAAAAGCATTAACATTCACCCGGCCGGGTGTGGCTCCGCGGCTGAGCATGGACCCAGGAACCAAGGGGTCGCCAGTTGGATTCCCAATCAGGGCCCGGGCCCGGGTTGCAGGCTCCATCCCCAAGAGAGGACATGCAGGAGGCAGCCAGTCAATGATTCTCTCTCATCACTGGTGTTTCCATCTCTCTCTTCCTCTCTGACATCAATAAAAATGAATTTTTTTAAATGTTAACATTCTGAGCCCTGGCCAGTGTGCTCAATGGTTAGAGCGTCAGTCTGACCACCAAAGGGTCGTGGGTCCCACTCCTGGGCAAGGGCAGGTACCTGGGCTGCAGACCCCATGCCCGGCCCCGGGCAGGGCCAGTGCGGGAGGTAACCAGGCAGTGAGTCTCTCTCACAGGGATGTCTCTCTCTCCTCCCCTCCCCTCTCCCTTCCACTCCCGCTAAAAGAGGAAACGAGCACAGGGAGGACATTCCTTGTGCTGTGGGAGGCGGAGGCAGGCGCCCGGGGGCGGGGGGCGGGGGGGGCGCACCTGCAGCACCTTCTCGGGCTGGAAGCACAGCAGCGGCAGGTGCAGGTCCAGGTCGATGACCGGGCTCTCGGGGTCGGCGCGCGAGGGGAACACCACCTGCAGCGGCTTCATGGTGAACACCTGCAGGACATGTCCCTGTGAGACCGAGCGGACGCCCAGCCACGGAGTGGGCCAGAGACGAGGGCTCCACAGTCCACGTGAGCGGACGCCCCCAGCCACAGTGTGGCTCAGAGACGACGGCTCCACAGTCCACGTGAGGCCCAGCGCCCGGCGGAGCGAACGCCCAGCCACGGTGTGGGCCAGAGAGCGAGGGTTCCACAGTCCCTGCACGTTTCTGGCGCTTACTGGACGGGCCTGGTGTTCTGGGTGCGGTTTTGATCTTTAAAAAGGAAGCTTCGCATGGCTCCATCGGCCTGAAAACCGCCGAGTCAATCAGGTTGCATCACAGGCGGCCTGAGCTGTTACTCAACAAAGGCCGAGTGTGGCCTGCCCGTCCCGAGCCCTCCCCCTGAGCCCTGAACCCTGACACCCTCCTGTCATGAGACAGCCAAAAACAGCAGGGGGGTCCCACGGAACCCAGTTTGGGAAATGCTTGTTCATTAACTAAATAAGTATGTGTACATATCATTAATCACACCAGACAGGAGAAAGCATTAACTAGTTACATATATTGCCTGCTTTTCTAGAGAAACAAGGGGGGAATTTATAATTTAAGTAAATGCTGCGTGGTTTCTGCAAAGGGAATGATGACCTAGCGCAGGGGTCGGCAAACGGCGGCTCACGAGCCACATGTGGCTCTTTGGCCCCTTGAGTGTGGCTCTCCCACAAAATACCACGGCCTGGGCGAGTCTGTTGAAGAAGTGGTGTTAGATGGAGTTTAAGTTAAAAAAAAAAAATGTGGCTCTCCAGAGAAATTTCAGTCGTTGTGCTGTTGGTATTTGGTTCTGTGGACTGGTGAGTTTGCCGACCACTGGCCTAGCGGATTAATGCCTCAAGGGGCCGGTTACCAGCTCCACAGCCACTTACCGGGAGCCAATCAGCGGGACCCGGGGCCTACCTCCTGGTGCAAGAACAGAGCGTCATTGCCAAGCCTTTAGAAAAGGAATTTCTACTTCTGGTTCTTTTGACCTTTAGGGACAGCATGTAAAAGGCTTGTCAGGGACTTGAGAACCTTAAGACATTCTTAGGGGAAACACCGTTTCCACTGGCAGAGACACGCGGGCGACCATTACCAAGTGCAGCGGCCCCGGCGGGGGGCTGGGGATCAGAGAGAGCTTCGCAGCAAAGTCTTTGATGTGATTCTCAACTTCGAAATCCTTGCAGAGCTTCAGATGCATCAGCAAACTGGAATTGAAAAAGAATCAGTCAGCCTAGCTTCGGATGAAAGGGTCCCAGGTTCGATTCTGGCCAAGGGCATGTGCCCGGGTTGGAGGCTCCATCCCCAGTAGGGGGCATGCAGGAGGCAGCGATCCATGATTCTCCCTCATCATGGACGTCTCTCTCTCTCTCCTTCTCCCTTCCTCTCTGAAATCAATAAAAATGTATTTTTTTTTAATAAATAAATGAAAATGAAATGCAAACAAAAATCAGAACGGACAGCAGCCGCTGACTTTCTCAGCTAGCCAGGGAAATCGTTTTTCCCGATTCACATCCCTTTCTTAAAACCCAGGGGAAACCCGCCGTCTTAATTACTTCCACCATTAGCCCTCCCACTCCTCCCTGCCCCTCTGTTCCCCCCTCCCCTCCCTGCCCCTCTTTTCCTCCTTCCCTCCCTGACCCTGGATCCTGCCCCTCTGTTCCTCCCTCCCTCCCTCCCTGGCCCCAGGTCAGCATCGCCCAGGGTCCTAGGTCAGGGTTTGGGACGTGGCTCGGCTCACCAGGACAGGCAGTCCCTGAGGGCGTTGTAGTAGGGGAACCGTGAGATCACGCACACGGCGAAGGGCACGAAGCCGCCACCGCCCACGCTCAGCCCGGACGCCTCCCAGTGGGGCTTGCCGCTGTAGAAGCAGTGCTCGTCCTGGGGGAGAGCGGAGGGACGTCACCGCCCGCCTGGCCTCCCGTGTGCGTCCTCCACAGCCCCCATCACCCCCCGCCTGGCCTCCGAGTGCGTCCTCCTCAGCCCCCATCTCCCCCCGCCTGGCCTCCCGTGTGCGTCCTCCACAGCCCCCATCTCCCCCCGCCTGGCCTCCGAGTGCGTCCTCCTCAGCCCCCATCTCCTCCCCCCGCCTGGCCTCCCGTGTGCGTCCTCCTCAGCCCCCATCCCCCCCCGCCTGGCCTCCGAGTGCGTCCTCCTCAGCCCCCATCTCCCCCCGCCTGGCCTCCCGTGTGCGTCCTCCTCAGCCCCCATCTCCCCCCGCCTGGCCTCCCGTGTGCGTCCTCCTCAGCCCCCATCTCCCCCCGCCTGGCCCCCCATGTGGGTCCTCCACAGCCCCATCTCCTCCCCCCGCCTGGCCTCCCGTGTGCGTCCTCCACAGCCCCCATCTCCTCCCCCCGCCTGGCCTCCGAGTGCGTCCTCCACAGCCCCCATCTCCTCCCCCCGCCTGGCCTCCCGTGTGCGTCCTCCACAGCCCCCCTCTCCTCCCCCCGCCTGGCCTCCCCGTGTGCGTCCTCCACAGCCCCCGCCTCCTCCCCCCGCCTGGCCTCCCGTGTGCGTCCTCCACAGCCCCCCTCTCCTCCCCCCGCCTGGCCTCCCGTGTGCGTCCTCCTCAGCCCCCATCTCCCCCCGCCTGGCCCCCCGTGTGCGTCCTCCACAGCCCCCATCTCCCCCCGCCTGGCCTCCCGTGTGCGTCCTCCTCAGCCCCCATCTCCCCCCGCCTGGCCCCCCGTGTGCGTCCTCCACAGCCCCCATCTCCCCCCGCCTGGCCTCCCGTGTGCGTCCTCCTCAGCCCCCATCTCCCCCCACCTGGCCCCCCATGTGGGTCCTCCACAGCCCCCATCTCCTCCCCCCGCCTGGCCTCCCGTGTGCGTCCTCCACAGCCCCCATCTCCTCCCCCCGCCTGGCCTCCCGTGTGCGTCCTCCACAGCCCCCATCTCCCCCCGCCTGGCCTCCCGTGTGCGTCCTCCTCAGCCCCCATCTCCCCCCGCCTGGCCCCCCATGTGGGTCCTCCACAGCCCCCATCTCCTCCCCCCGCCTGGCCTCCCGTGTGCGTCCTCCACAGCCCCCATCTCCTCCCCCCGCCTGGCCTCCCGTGTGCGTCCTCCTCAGCCCCCATCTCCCCCCGCCTGGCCTCCCGTGTGCGTCCTCCACAGCCCCCCTCTCCTCCCCCCGCCTGGCCTCCCGTGTGCGTCCTCCACAGCCCCCGCCTCCTCCCGCCTGGCCTCCCGTGTGCGTCCTCCACAGCCCCCGCCTCCTCCCCCCGCCTGGCCTCCGGGCAGACAGACTGCAGGGCTGGACCCAGTCCCCCTCCTGCACCCCGTTTCACCGCCAGGTCCAGCGAGGACCAGCCTCTCCGTCATGGTGACACACACACACACACACACACACCGCCCACCACAGTTCAGTTCCCGCCAGGGTACAGCCCCGGGTGCGGGCTCCACCCCAGGGTGTTCATGGTGCTTTCAAAGCATTTTCCGCCCCAAGTCCCACCATCCTCAGGGCGGCAGGGTGTGATGTCAGGTGAGCCCCTCCCGCCTGTTTCCTGGGTCCCCAGGGCCAGATGCACAGGTTGTGGGGGGGGCCTGCAGGAGGCAGCTGATCCATGGTCCTCTCTCATCATGATGTCTCTCTCTCCCCCTTCTCCCTTCCTCTCTGAAATCATTAGAAATGCTTTTAAAAGGTTACAAAGAAGGTCAGGTGCATCTGCCCGCTGGGGGAGCTCACAGCCTCAGGGGAGGGGTGCAGGCAGAACGAGTGACACCAGAGTGGCCACAGGGCTCGGCTGAACCAGGAGCAGGTGCAGCACCGGGGGCGGGAGCCGGGGAGGAGGGGGACACGCAGGAGGAGGAGGAGAGGAGGGGCCTCAGCAGAGGCCCGCTCAGCAGCGCCCCCAGGTCACCGCTCACAGGGGCTGCAGGGAGGGGTTTGGAGGGGTTAGGGCAGGGATGGAGGAGGGTGCGGACAGCTTCCGCTGGGGCTCTGTGAACTGGAGGTCACTGTGAGGCCGACGGCCCGGCAGAGGGAGGGCCCTGGAGCCACCGGCCACGCCACCTGCCCCCCCGCACCACCGTTCAGGGAGGGCACAGTCTTGGGGGTCGGGCTGCTCAAGTTCAAATCCTGGCCGCTGTGTGACCTCAGGCAAGTCGCTTGACCTCTCTGTGCCACCACGTTCTCATCTGTAACATGGGACGGTCCTGAGACCCCGCCGGCCCGGACACGGGGGAAGGCGCGGCGCCACCTACGTGCAGCGGCCGGTAGTACTGGGCCACGGCGCCGTACGTCCGGTTCCCGCACACGTCCGTCAGCACCAGGAAGTGGACGCTGTCCTCCTTCGGCTCCGAGGCCACACACAGGCCCCCTGCAGGCGGGAAGGAGAGAGAACGTGTGAGGCCTGAGGTACGGTCCCCAGAACCGGGCGGCGGCAGCGGCAGCAGCTTCCTGCGGAAGCAGCCGGTCGGACCGGCCCTGCGCCCAGCCGCTGCTGAGCTCTGCACCAGCCTCCTCCGTTTCCCGGGAAACGGCCGGCTGGAAAGCCTGGCCCGGTGCGGACCGGCCACGTCCGGGGAAACACAACCTGTGCGTCTGGCCCCCGAGACCCAGAAGGGGTGGGAGGGGCCGGAACGGCTCACTGACCTCACAGGCCCCTGCAGGCCCTGAGGACGAAGATGCTTTAAAAGCATCATAAATCCACGCGACCCTGCCAGGACTCGGCTCTCCAGCGTGCCAGGGCTGTGCTAAGTGCCCCGCTGCCTTTTAGGGTTTAAACCCAAGATCAAGACAGCTCAGTCCCGCCCGGCCGGCGGGGCGCAGGGATGGAGTGTCAATCTGTGAACCAGGAGGTCGCGGTTCCATTCCCGGTCAGGGCACAGGCCCGGGTACTGGGCTCCATCCCAGTGTGGGGCGTGCAGGAGGCAGCCGGTCCATGATTCTCTGTCCTCATTGAGGTTTCTCTCTCTCTCCCTCTCTCTTCCTCTCTGACATCAATAAAATATATTTAAAAAAGAGGAAGAAGACAGCTCAGTCCTGGGCAGGACGCAGGGCCCGGGCGTGGCCAGCTCCCGCGGCCCCGGCAGCGCCGCCCGGGCGGGTACCTGGGAAGCACAGCTGGGGCAGGGCCAGCAGGTCCACGCCGTCCGGGACACTGACGTCCTCGGGGTCCGGCTCCCGGGGCCCCGCGGGGCCCTTGCCGGGGTCCGCCCGGGGCCGCTCCCTCTTCTTCCGGAAGGAGCGCCGCTTGGCTTTGCCGAGGGTCCCGCCGGCGCCGGCGCTGGCCGTCTGTCCGTCCTCCTTGCTGACGAAGGGCGGCGCGAAGACCGACAGCACCTCGGGCTCCAGGGCAGGACTCGGGACCCCGCCTTTCTGGGCGACCTGGGGGCGGCAGGAGAGCCACTGCGACGGTCCGCCCCGCCCCGCCCCCCGCCCCTCCGCCCACGAACGCCCGAGGGCAGCGTCTCCGCCAGCGGCTGCGGCAGCGAGGGCGAGGCTGCCCGTGTCCTGTCCGGCGAGGGGACGCGGCCGGGGCGGACGCGGCAGCCGAACAAAGGGGGTCCGCGCGGGCAGGCCGCTCAGATGCGCTGTCTCCACGGCCGCCCGTTACTATTAGCGCCTCAGCCTCCAGCTTCCCTGCCGGGGGGAGGGGGGTCATGGGGGGTAAAGGGGACGCCCCAGGCCTAGGGCTCAGCCCCTCTGGGTCCCCAGGAGGCCCCACGTCACCTCAGGGGCTGGGGGAGGGCAGTGCCACGTGGCTCTGTGCACAGCCGGACACGGCCTCAGGAAGGACCACAGAGGACGTGGCCGGGGCCGGCAGGAAGCCAGCAGCGGACAGCGCCTCTCGGTGGGGAGCGGTGCCAGCGGGGACGTCACACCGCGGCCGGCACAGCGGCTGCCAGCGTGCCGCCTGCCCAGGGCGCGCAGTTAGCGCATCGCCCGACTCCCGGGTTGCGGGTGCGATCCCGGGTCAGGGCACGTGGCGTTGGGAAAACGAAGGATGAGCCCACGAACGCACAGATGCACAGAACAAGTCACTGTTCCTCTCGGGCCCCCTTCCTCTCTCTAACAGCCATCGATGAAAAATACGTTAAAGGAAATATTTTCATGCTCCAGGGTTTAAATGCAATAATTTTTCTGCTTCGAGGGGGAAATTAATGCCGACGGGAACCAGGACCAAACTCGGACTCAGAGGACTGTGTCACCAGAAACACACACACACACACACACACACACACACACACACACACACACACACCGTCAGACGTACACAGGAGTCTGCTTCTTCGGTTTCGCGAAATCTTTGGACAACTTTCCTTCCAAAACGCAGCGGCTCCGGCCTAGTCCACCACAGCCTGTGGTCCCCTCCTCCCCACAGGGGGCGCCACACCCAAGAGGCCGAGGCAGCCCCGCCAGCAATCCCTCGTGGAAACGGTCAGAGGAGGCTGATGGCCCTTTTCCAGAAGCTTCCCTCCTCCTGCTCCTGGCAGCCACCCACGGCCCTCCCAGGGCTGAGCCCTGGACCCAGTCCGTCCTCACTGTCCTCCGTCCAGCCCCTCGGCTCCGTCCGGCCCCCCTCGGCTCCGTCCCCCCCTCCGTCGCCGGGGACCTGAGCCAGGAGCTCCTGGCAGTCCCTCTTTCGCTCCGGTCACTGGAGAGCGGCGTGGCCATCCCGCCGGCAGGCGGTCAGCGCGCTGCTTCCCAGGCGGGAGCGGCCTCGGTCTGGCTCCGGCCGAGCGTTGGGCTGAGACCAAAGGATCAGTCATTCCATTCCAGTCAAGGGCGGGCCTGGGCTGCAGGAGGCGACCATGATGTGCCTCTCACAGCCTCTCTGTCTCTCCCTCTCCGCCCCCCGCCCCCTCCTTTCTGAGAATCAACGGGAAAACATCCCTGGGTGAGAATTAAAAAAAAGTGGAAGCCATTTCCGCCGATGCCTCTTCTGACCCCAGGAGCCACACAGACGCGTCTGAAAACAGCTTCCCGGGCCGGACTCAGAGGCGCCCGCGGCACAGCCCTCGGCCCTCCCGCTTCTCAGGAGTCTGGAAAGTTTTCTCATAGACAGACCGTCCGGGTCTCGGTCCCCGTGACTCAGACGGGGGCCCCGGGCTCACTGCGCAGGGTCAGCTCCTGCGGCGAAGCTGTGATGTGGGTGCGGCCCCGAGAGGGCAGGCGCCTCTCCCCACGTCTTCCTGCGGAACCCCTGACCGGCCAGCCCGGGAGGGCCTCACCGACCCGTCTGCACGTGGAGGACCCTCCAGCGTCAGTGCCAGAGCAGCCCTGACCCCGGGCGTTCGGTTACACATCCCGCTGCCCGCACCCGTCCCCCTGCCCGTCCCTGTCCCCCTGCCCCCACCCGGCCCCGCTACCCACACCCGTCCCCCTGCCCGTCCCCCTGCCCGCACCCGTCCCCCTGCCCGTCCCCGTCCCCCTGCCCGTCCCTGTCCCCCTGCCCCCACCCGGCCCCGCTACCCACACCCGTCCCTGCTGCCCGCACCCGTCCCCCTGCCCGTCCCCCTGCCCCCACCCGTCCCCTGCCCCCACCCGGCCCCGCTACCCACACCCGTCCCCCTGCCCGCACCCGTCCCCCTGCCCGCACCCGTCCCCCTGGCCGCACCCGGGAGGCCAGTTCCATCTCCACAGACGCTGCCCGAGGGGGTTCCTGCTCGTGTCCAGCAGGCGGGGACCTCTCCCCCAAGAAGAACATCGTTTGCATTTTTTAAAAATGTAATTCACAGGAAAAGACCACAAGCTTTCATTCGCTTGAGTCCCACTGGCCCTGACCTTGGGGGGCGGGGGGGAGTCTGCCTCATCCGAGAAACAGAACGGAGTTAATCGGTTTAACGCTCGGAGCCGCCATCTCGTGGCCTCCGTGGCCGGGGCGGTGTGCTGGCGGCGCAGAGAGAACCCAGCTGTCACCGACCACAAAGTCCTGCCGGGCGTGCTGGTCTCCAAACCGAAACCGAAAGCAGGGTGCGCTCCACCAACTGCCAGCACGGCCCAGCCGCGAAGGCTCTGAGCACTCCCTTCCTTCCTCCCTCTCCACGACCTGCGCCCTGCCTCGCGCCCGCGCTGGGTCTCCATAGCAACCACGGAGCGGCGGGAAAGGTCCCCAACAGGTGACTCCCCTGGGACTGAACTGTGCCCTCCGACTCCCTGTCACTGTCACCAACACACACACCCCGACCGCCGTGAGGACGGGACGCCGGCCTGCGCTTAGGCTGGTGCCTCTCACCCCGCAGAGCTCCCCAGAGGAGTGTCGGCGTCACAGAGCAACGGTGGAGTTTAAAAAAGCAAAGCTGAAAGTTATTAAACAGCCTTGGACATTCAAAACAGGACAGCTCTGAAACAATCACACTTAGCGAGCCCGGCCGGCGGGGCTCAGCGGCCGAGCGGTGACCTATGAACCAGGAGGTCACAGTTCGATTCGCAGTCAGGGCCCGGGCCCGGGTTGTGGGCTCCACCCCCAGTAGGGGGGTGCAGGAGGCAGCCGATCCATGATTCTCTTTCATTATTGATGTTTTTCTCTCTCCCTCTCCCTTCCTCCCTGACATCAATAAAAGTTTTTTGTTTTTTTTAAATCAAACTAAGTAAATAAAATGTTTGGTTCAGCCCTGGCTGGTTTGACTCAGTGGGTAGAGCATCAGCCTGTAGACTGAAGAGTCCTGTTTGATTCCAGTCAAGGGCGCATGCCCAGGTTGCAGACTCGATCCCATGTGGGCTCGGGCTTAAACTGGCAGTCGGACATCCCCCGAGGGGTCCTGGATCGGAGAGGGTGCAGGCTGGGCTGAGTGCCCCCCCCCTCAGCCCCCCACCACGCACGAACTTTGTGCACCGGCCTCAGTAAATAAATAAAGCGTTTGGTCCATTCTAACACTCGCGTGAGTCATACATGCAGGGCCGCTCCAGGAAGAGTAAGCGTGTCTTCCCGCTCGCTCCTTTTCCCTGCTCCTTCCACCATCTCCCGCCTCCTCCAAACCCTAAGGGATCGCAGTCCAGACCGAAGGCAGAGGCAGAGGGCAGAGCGGCCGGCCGGCCGGGAGGATGCCGCAGGCTGCCTGGTGCAGGAAGTAGCACCGTAGTATTTCAGCTCGCTCATCCTGTCACACACATATCCCCCATGGGGCAACCGCCTGGCGTGTGGTAACCGCCCCGCAGCCCGGCGCCCGGCTGCCGGCCGGCCCGGCTGAACCCCGTCATTTCCTGTCCGGAGAAAAAGGAGGAACGGCCACATGTCCACCGAGAGGCAGGGAGACAACTCATCCAACCCACAGAGCGTCCAGGAGACCGGTCTCAGGGGGACAGCGCCCTGGCTGGTGGGGCTCAGTTACAGAACGCTGGCCTGCAGACTGAAGGGTCCCAGGTTCGATTCCCGGGCAGGGCACAGGCTTGAGTTGGATCCCGTGTGGGACGTGCAGGAGGCAGCCGACCAATGATTCTCTCTCATCACTGATGTTTCTGTCTCTCTTTCTCCCTTCCTCTCAGAAATCAATTTAAAAAAAAAAAAACTTTTTTAAGAAGGGGACACAGACATTTGGGGGTTCAGGGAGAAAAGTCAGGGGGAGGCCGATGGCTAAGGAGCAGAGACCAGGAAAGCATAGGCAGGTGCACATGGGTACATTTCAGTAACATTGAGCTTCGCTGGGCCTCGGCCATCACTCCTGCGGCCTCTGCTCTCGCCGCCTCCCCGGTGCACTGGCCCCGGGAACCGGGGTGAAGCCGGCCTCTGAGCACAGGGCAGGCGCTAACCAGGAAACACGGCAGTGTCAGCCACGCCGGCCCGGAGAAACAGCAGGGGCCGGCGGGACCAAGGAAGAGTGAGCACAGGGGAAAACAGGGGAGAGTCCGGCCCCGCCGCTCCCGCTCGGGGGCCGGCGGGCGGGCTGTCCCCGGGCGGTCCCCGGGGGCGCGGAGGGGAAAGGGAAGGGCGGCGGGGCCGGGGCCGGAGGGAGAGAAACAGCTGGCGCCACCGGAGGCGCAGCGCCAGGCGCTCCTCCCGGGAATCCCGGGAGCCACTCCCGCGGTCCCACCCCGGGGTGCTGGGGGGCCCCAGGGCAGCCAATCACAGAGCGCACCTGCGGTCCGGGCGCCCGCCGCGGCACACGGAGGCGGCCGGCCTGGCAGCGCCCCGCGGGCCCGCAGGGTGCCCCGGGGGAGGGCGAGGAGGGGGAGCGGAGTCCTCGGGCACTGGCCGGGGCGCCGGGCCGCCGGAGTCTGCCCGCGGGTGCTTGCTTACCAGCTCGGGGCCGCGGAGGCTGTCCCGGGGGGCCCCCAGCAGCACGCACAGCTCCAGCAGCCCCGAGGGCAGCGCCAGGGGCTGCGGCGCCGCCTCCGCCATGGCCGCTATGCCGCCGCCGCCCGCGGGGCGCGCCCGGGGGCCCCGATCCCGACCTCGCGCCCAGCAGCGCCCCGAAGCCGACTACCCGCGGCGGCCGGATCCACGAGAGCCCGTCCGCGGGGCGGGGCCTGGGCGGGGCGGGGCCTGGGCGGGGCGGGGCCTGGGCGGGGCGGAGTCTGAGGGCTGGAGCGAGGCCGGGCGAGAGCGGGGCGGGGCGGGGCTTTGTTGGTCGGGGGCGGGGCCTGGCGGGGGCGGGTCTGAGGGCTGAAGCCTGGCCTGGCGGGGCGGGGCCTGGCGGGGGCGGGGCCTGAGGGGCGGGGCCTGAGGGCTGGAGCCCAGCGGATGGGAGAGGGGCCGGCGCAGGGCCCGGCTGGAGCAAGTCATTTCCGAACCGGCTGGCGGGTCCTGGCGCGCGGCCCCCTCCCCGGGGAACCAGAGAAGGAGAGGGCGGGGTCCTCAGATGGGGCCCGGTGACCCCCAGGGACTAAGGTCCCTCGGGATCCCCCCAACCCCTCCGGCCCAGCCGCCTCCTCCAGGAAGCCCTCTGGCCCTGGGCTGGGCGTGGACAGCAGGAAGGCCCGCCAGAAAGGGAGTGGAAAGCTCCATTCCTGGTTAGTAGCTCGTGTGGGTTAACCCAGGACTGGCCACTCCAGTAAGAGACTGAGTAAAATTCAGCAGGAAAAAAGAATAAAATAAACCAGTTTCAGGAACGGGGTGGAGTGGGTGCTGCTAGGATGGAGCCCTGGGAGCTAAGGGCTGGGAAGGGTCGGAGACAGGCCCTTGCCCGTCGGCTCCAGGTCTCTGTGGACCGCGGGCCTCTCCCAGCCGTCAGGCAGTGAAACGGGGCTCTCGGCCACCCCTGGTCCGGCTTGGGAGCCTGGGAGTCCAGTGACACAACGGAAGGGGCCGGGGTCCCAGCTGACCTTGGGCAGATCCCGGCTGGACCCTAGCGTATGCATCTGTAAAATGAAAAGGGAGATGATTCCAAAGAAACTTCTAGTTCTAATAATCTATGATTTAAAAGCCGGCAGTGCCCAATAATAACTTCAAAGTACAACAGAACAATAACTAGGAGACAAGTGGAAATGCCTGGGGTGAAGGTGGGGCAGGCCTGGACCCGGAGGCGAAGGATTCCTTCACCCCTTCCTGCCCGACGCCCCCTCGCCCCACAGCCAGACTCACAGCGGGATTTGTGTTCCGCTTAGTAGTAAGTCACCTCAGGATCCTGAGTCACGCTCAGCAGTCCGCAGGTGGCCAGGCCCCCGGGGCCCTCCTCCGCCTGCTGACAAGCACTTAGTCATTGACTTCCAAAGGACAGATGTGGCCCTGGCTGGTGTGGCTCAGTGGATAGAGCGCCGGCCTGCGGACTGAAGGGTCCTGGGTTTGATTCCTTTCAAGGGCACAGGCCCGGGTTGCTGGCTCAGTCCCCAGTAGGAGGCATGCAGGAAGCAGCCGGTTGATCCATGATTCTCTCTCATCATTGATGTTTCTGTCTCTTTCTCCCTCTCCCTTCCTCTCTGAAATCAATGAAGATATTTTTTAAAAAGGAGAGATTTGCCGGCCAGCGCGGCTTGGTGGTTGAGCGTAGACCGCTATATGAAACGGGAGGTCACGGTGCGATTCCGGCCAAGGCACTTGACTGGGGAGAAAGCCAGACAAGTATGAGCAAAATCTATACTTTAAAAAAACACTTTAAATTAACCTCAGAGAGAGAGGAGGGGCGAGGGAGAGAGACAGAAACACCAATGATGAGAGAGAAACTTGCCAGCTGCCTCCTGAGCATCCGGGCTGCGGGCCTGGCCTCAGGGACGAGCCAGCACCCGGAGCCCCGGGGAAGGGCACCATGCCCAGCCAGCTGGAACCCATTGTGACAAGTTGTTTTCTCTTTTAAAAATAAATAAGAGGAAGTCACATGCCAGTAAGCGCTGCCTGCCGGCTCCGGCGGAGGCGCAGCCTCTGGCTCAGGAGCTCCGGGGCTGGAGGGTGCTCACCCGCTCTCACCGGGCGGGCGGGTCCCTGGGACGGTTCCAGGAGCCCCCGGTGGCAGCCCGGCCGGCAGAGGAGCAGCCAGGCTGCAAGAGCACGGGGCGCGGGCTCCCCTGCACCCGTGGTAAAACGCAAGTCCCGGGCCTCCCCTCGTCCATATAAACACACCTCCTTCTGCTCAGCAGACACTCTGAGCGCCCCTGTGCGCCGGCCACCGCCGTGCCTGACCGCGGGCGCGCAGTGGGGCTGGACGTCTGCGGTGAGTGACCATCTGACCCGGCCCAGTGCCCACAGGCTGGGTGGCCCCGCCCTGAGCACGTGAGTGCCCAGCACCCCCGGGTGCACCCGAGTATTTGATGAAGAAGAGAATCCAGTTCCACTGCCCCCCGGCGAGGGCCCATCTGTGCGGTGGGTGCCCCTCACCTGAGGCGGAGGAAAAGAGTCGGGTCACAGGAAAACACACGGAGACCCCACTTAACAGAGTCTGCGCTTGGGCAGAACACACACAAAGAGGCTGTTAAAGAAAGCGAGGGCCGAAACCGGTGTGGCTCAGTGGATAGAGCGTCGGCCTGCGGACTGAAAGGTCCCGGGTTCGATTCTGGTCAAGGGCATGTACATTGGTTGCTGCACATCCCCAGTATGGGGTGTGCAAGAGGCAGCTGATCGATGTATCTCTCTCATCGACGTTTCTAACTCTCCATCTCTCTCAATTCCTCTCTGTGTAAAAGTCAATAAGATATATTTTTTAAAAAGAGGCGAGATTTCTCTAAAAAAAAAAAAAAGAAAGAAAGCGAGGGCCTGGCCGGTGTGGCTCAGTGGTTGAGCGTCGACCCATGAACCAGGAGGTCACGGTTTGGTTGCGGTTGGGGCACAGGCCTGGGTTGCAGGCTCCAGTGTGGGGTGAATAGGATTCTCTCTCATCATTGATGTTTCTATATCTCTCCCTCTCCCTACCTCTCTGAAATCAATAAAGAATCTATATGCATTTTTTAAAAGGACAGCAAGGGAGGGTCCGGCGGCCCTCTGCCTCAGCGGGGGGGCCGGTGTCCATGGTATAGCTGACCCGCCCTTTGTAAACACGAAAAGCCTCCTCAGAGAAGAGGAGGTGGCCCACGGTCCGGCCCATCTCCGGCATTGTTGTGGTCAGACAATGCGGCTGCCGTGGGCTTCCCGGGGTCCACGTGGTGGCCGGGAGTGCCCCGGACCCAGCTGTGTCCCGCTCTCAGGGAGGACACTCAGAGGGGCCCGCTGAGAGCGAATCCAGGGAGGGTGACAGGCGGGGAGGCTGCAGGGCTGTGGGCCGAGCCGCCGGGTCCCCCACGTGGGGAGGGCGAGGTGGGGGTGTGGCGGGGTGGGGGGTGGGGTGGCGGGGGGGGGAGGTGGCGGGGGGGTGTGTGACGGGGGCTGTGGCGGGGGGTGTAGCGGGGTGGGGTGTGGCGGGGTGGGGTGTGGCGGGGTGGGGTGTGGCGGGGTGGTGGGGGGGTGGCGAGTGGGTGGGGGGGTGGGGGGTGGGGGGTGTAGCGGGGGGGGGGGGGTGTAGCGGGGTGGGGGGTGTGGCGGGGTGGGGGGGTGGGGGGGTGGCGAGTGGGTGGGGGTTTGGCGGGGTGGGGGGGTGGGGGGGATGTGGTGGGGTGGTGGGGGGTGGCCGCACTCGCCCTTTGCTGGAGGAAAGTCAGGAAGCTGAGGTCCAGCTGCTGTGTGCGCCAGGCAGGGAGGAAGGGGACAGAGGTGCGAACTCTCTTACCCACCCAGACTGGAATCAAGCCGGATACCAGCAGGCGCTGACAGTGAGTGTGGGAAAGGGGAAGTCAGGTACCACCGGCATTCGAGGGCCCGAGAGAGAAGGAAGCCGAGGTCACTCAAGGTTAGTTCCCTCTCGGCTGCCGGTCCTGCTGCCCTTCTCCCTTTTCTGCCCAGACAGCGGGCTCCCCTTTCCTCGGCTCAGAGGCTGCCTCCTCCAGGAAGCCCTCTGTGCCTCGCCTGTCCACGTGGGAGTGGCCGCCCCTCCCCCTCCCATCGCTCCTCCTGGGCCCTCACCATGGCCCCTTGACCAGCGCCGCATGGGCGGGGCCTGCCCTCTGTGCCTGCCCTGGGCCCCACCCACGACTGACCTGACCCTCCTTGTTTCTGGCCCCAGAGCCTCCGTCCAGGCCCATCTCACCTGGCACTTCCTGGGAGAAGGGGCAGGCCTGGGCTCTGGCCTGTGTGGGACCCTCTGCGGGCTGGCGGGGTGTGGCCGGGCAGACACAGGGGCAGGGTGATGGCCGTGATGCTGAGTGCCCCCTGGTGGCGGGGAGCCTGTGGAGGGAGGATCTTTGGAAAGCCAGCGCTGGCTGGCGTGGGGCCCAGGCCATTCTCACTACCTGAAACTGTGGGCGGTTCTGCAATTCGCTCGGGGTGAGGAGGGCCCTCCCCCTCCCCGCTGAGTGCTAGCTTTCAAGGGATTGGGGCCTCGGGCCAAGTCCCCTCCACGCACACTCGCGGCGTGAAAGTCAAAGCCGCCTCCTCCGGGTCACCCACAGCCCGCGGCCCAGGCTGCATGGAGCCTGGAGGGCAGTCCCGGAGAGGAGGGCGGGCTCAGGCCCAGAGGGGCCACGGCCAGCCTGGCAGCACGGCCTCGGACACCCCTCCCGGACAGGGCCTCCTCTCAGGGCGCTCCCGGGAGCCGGAGCCGGGAGCCGGGAGGCCAGGCTGCGTCCGCACGGAGAGGGGCCTGGGGCCACTGGCAGCCCAGCCTCCGCCACACACACCTCTGGGCCCGGCCACTCGGTGCTGCCGCTCCCGGCTCTGCTGTCCCGTCTCCGTCCCTCTTCACCCGCAAGCCCCAGGCCTGGCTGCCCCGGGCCAAGGGGGGGCAGAGGCCTCCCCAGGCCCATCGCTTCTCGTCCAGCTGGCCGCCGGTGGAGCCACCCACACCCCCTGCCAGGTGTGTGCACGTGCGTGGGCATGTGTGTGAGCGTGTGAGTGTATGAGTATGTGTGAGCGTGTGAAAGCTTGTGAATGTAAGCGTGTGAGTGTGTGCGTGTGAACATGAGAGTGTGAACATGAGAGTGTGACCATGTGTGTGTGTGAGCATGTGTATGTGTGTGTGTGAGTATGAGTGTATGTGTGTGAGC